GGGAGACAGGCGACATTTTTGTCTATTTTTAAACTCACAGTTCTGGAATTTTTTCGACAGTTTGTTTTAGTAGAGAAGGGAAAGGGAATAATGCAGAGATACACGTCCGCCATTGACATCGTTCTTGAGTCACTAATTTCAGGGTCTCCAACCAATGCCGCTCTGTATCTTGGACCCCAACCAGGGAGTTGAGAACAAGCAACCTAGGTCAATTGTCTCGTCAGCTTTTACACGCCGATTCTCCAAGTCATAGGCTGTCCACCGCGCCTGCCTCTTCTAGCCCTGCTCAGCAACCGCGAACAACGCACGACGCAAAAGACGCTAAGCGGGCAAGCGCTATAGGTGTCTAAGTCACTACAATTGACGCGGCGAGACGAGCTGCTCGAGCGAGTGACTGACTTCCACATTGATTATGTGGTGCAGCCACCACACACAGGAAATGGGCCGCAAGCAACGGTTAGTAGTGCAAGCCATTAGCGGTTACGGGTTTGATTCTATGGAGGGAACGAGGAGGAAACGGCCGTGCGGTGCTTTCCTGGATTAATAGTTGGCATATCTGGCTTGTAAGCTAGCTGCAATCCCCCTGGTCATGAGTAGTTAGAGTTTGACATAGTTTTCATATAAAACACGGTACATGACTGGGATTCCAGTAGCACTACAGGGGTCCAAATCAATGTGCACTTCTCCAATAACTGTTAAGCGAGAGTGGCCTCGATCGGCACCAAAAACTGTGCTTGAGTAGGCTGATGATCTTTACCACATGATGTGAGGATTGGGCATGCGGAGCAGGTTTGAGTTTTTGACGAAAGGGAAAATAAGGGCACCCGAGATTCACAAACGGCGCAAAAAGAGTAAGAAATATGACGCAAATAAGTATGGATCGCGAATATACAGTATGGTAGACTGCCAATTTTCACACGATGACGAGACGAAGAAAAAGTGCGAGGCTAGAGATCGACGATGGCAGATTGACCACAAGAGCTAAGAAGTTTAGACGCGGAATGGGTCTGCTTTAGAGCAAAGTAGAGGGTAGCTAGGCTTTTTTATCCCCCATTACAACCGGAAGTGACAAAAGATCAAACGACTCAGTTGCAAAATTAGTGAATCTCGCGATTAATTTCGTTTTATCGACTCATAACCTCACCATTTACGAGTTAAAAAATTCGGTCCACTTCTACATCACCTTTAACAATTATAGTTAAAAAGAACAGCACTATAATTAGTAGCAGTAGTAGCAAGGTAGGACAACCGGATCCAACACACTTCGGTCCACATATTGTTGCCAATTGAACTAAGTTAATCAGATGATATTTCAAGGTGGTACGGATACTAAAGCTCACATCCCAACCGAATCGATTTTCACATATTCTTCAGACCAAGATAATGCTCGGAAGTTTAATTGATTTTCGTAAACCGAAATCATTTGTATGATTATTAACAGCGGTACACCAAGAACGTTAAGCTGATATTTCGTTATCATACAATGTAGTGAGCATAATGATGAAATAAAGTGTCAGCTGTACGTAGTAAAGGCGCTTCGTTGCTGCGCGACCACCACCAGTTGTGTGTGGACTGGGTACAGCGCGAGAACTTCGCCTCTACGCGGATTCGAACCAGTGACCTTATGATTGCAAACCAGACGTGCAGACCACTCGGCCACCGGCCGACGAGAGTGCATAGATAATAGCCCATTGATGAGGCTACAACTTCTGGACGCAGCACAAAGTCACTTCTCGCATCCAACAGAACTCATTAGTAGCAGATGTCATCGTGACGCAAATCCGAGTGTTAGCACTGGTACAGAATCGCAAAGCAGACTTCGGAACTTTTCAATGCTCGACAACGCATTCCGGTTGAGAGCCAGACTAGCAAAGAGCTCAGTAAAATATTGGGTGATAAACTGAAGAGAAAACGCGAAACCTGGTGGTCTCACAATGCACTGAGATGGAGACGGCCACCGTTCTTGGTAACCAGCGAAGTTCATTTCATCTCGTACGGTAGACCGGTAGCAGATCTAGCGTTGGCGAAACTAAATGCAATCAGACGGGACAGTCGATAAACATGTCAAAATGCATCATCGCGATAACACTGGACCGTAGTCGTGTCCCTCGACATCAAACGAGCTTCCGATTCGGTGGATGTGCCTTTTGCGACTGTCTACTCGGGAAAGATGTGCCCGAGAAACACGTAAACATTATCAGAGTGTTTTACGCAAATAGTTCAGGCAGAGTAGGGGCTCATGACAAGTGGTCACCGCCCTCAATATCTCCGGCGGTGGGAGACAGCGACGTCCGCTGTATCTTCCATTTTTGACTTGGATAGTGAAGAGGTCATGGGGACTGCGCTCAATGGACAAGGGTTACGCGTGGAATCGCTCCCCGGCAATCGACTTATTGATATGAAGTATGCCAACGATATTGCACTAATCTGTAACGGCTCATAAACGTGCCAAGTGCAAATGGACAGATAACCACAGACATTCGACCATTTCAAAATATGCTTTGCACCCTCCGAATACATAGCCTTTCTCCACGATTAGCAGAGACCACCAATTGTGTTGACCATTGGTGTGGATAAACTAAAACTCATTCAGAAATTCAACTATCTGGGCAGCTATATCAGCAACCGTAGTATAAAAGATGAGATCACGAATCATTTAAAGCATCAGCAGTAAGCCGACACATGGTACCGAGGCTACGCCATCACGCGACCACCATAAGTCGCGTGAAGGTGGGGCATACCGCGAGATCGCCCACACTTATGTGGCTTTGAACCGACAACCTCGGGACATGACTCACATCTTGGAATGCAGTTTACAATGCGGCAGTGCGTTTAATTCTAATCTACGGCTGAGGAACCTGACCCATTGGATCGACAGACACAAAGAGGCTAGTTACGTTCGATCATGGCTGCTTTCGCAGCTTGGCCCATGTCTGTTGGGAACACCGCGTAACCCATGATCGTGTTCGGTGTCATGCGTTTGGTGAGGGAAGAGCGTTCTTATCCAGCAATCGCGAACAAGGCACGATGGGGAAAACGCTGAACGGGCATACGCAGTATGTGTCTGAGCCATCGTAGTTGGCGCAGCAAGACAAGCGCCTCGAGGGAGTGGCTGTCTCCACCCAAGACACGCTGCCTGAGTTCAGTGTTGGTTACGTGGTGCAGCCACCACACATGGGCGATGGACGGTAAGCAACGGTTCTCGAGGGCAGACAGTCGACGCAGATCATCGGTACGAGCAGGCGAAGTCTTGCAACCGTACAACAGTATAGCAGGGACGGTCGTACTATAAACGCGACCTTTGATGGAGAGACGGATGTCATGGCGGCGCCATAAATGCCTCAGCCTGGAGAAGGCGAAACGAGCTCTTGAGATGCGCACGGTAATCTCGTTTCCGACAGCCCCACCAGCAGTGATTCAGCCTCTCAGGTAGACAAAACACCGTAGAATTTCCGGCGTCCCACCATCGATGGTGATTGCAGGTAGGGGCATATGCCAATTTTGAAAAAACGCTTTGCACTTGGATGATAAAAAGTGCATGCCATACTTTGATGCTTCAATCGTCAGGCGGTTAAGTTCAAGCTGGACGGCCTGCGGACCGCCACACAAGACGATATCGTCAGCGTAATCCAAATCAACCACCCGACTACCTAAGGGAAGCTCAACGCCAGCGTTCAACAAGTTTTCCAGAGCATTTTTGAGGACATCCTCAATGGCAAAGCTGAAGAGGAATGGAGAGAGCGCATTCTTGTTGAGCCCCATTAGTGACAACCAAGGAAGGCGAAAGCCTGTCATAAGCCTTAACTCTACCCGAGGTCAGACTATGCAGAGAAAGAAGTACGGAGACGAAGTTCCCGGGGACGCCATTTCTCAACAGACAATGCCACAAGGCAGTCCTGTCGACAGAATCGAAGGCATAATGCTAGGGGCCGTGGTTGGAGCATTCACAGGTAAAAGATTTGAGTCAGCTAGGCATTATGGGTGGCAAGATCAAATGTACTTTTTCGCCTAACTGACTCGAGGCTGCGTCCAGCCTTCGAACGTACTTTTTAGCCCCCCTAAAGTTCGAGTATTTGCCATTGTCTAAACGAAATTCCTTTTTCCATTCATAACTGGTATTCCGTAATTAGAAATTGGATGTTGCCCGCCCAAAAACACTGCACTACTATGACGCGTTTCGACGTTATTACATTTCATCAGATAGAGTTAGCAGGCATCGAACCCGGGACCATTGGGATGTTAGTTGTGACCGCTACCCCTAAGCCACCGGGTCACGACGGGCAAAGCTTGGCACAACGGTTAATGGCAGATTGGAAAGGCAATTTGAAGTACACGTTGTGTGGATGGATTGCGACACGCAATCTCAAAGTGGACCGCGATTCCCATTGAAGTGAATCTTGGCCATTCGATCACTAGGACCGTAGCTGATGAAGCAGCAGCGAATTGGGTGTTGCCCGCCTGAAACCACTGCACTCCATGACGCGTTTCGAGGTTATTTCCTCTCATCAGATAGAGATAGCAGGCATCGAGCCCGGGACCATTGGGATGTTAGTTGTGACCGCTACCCCTAAGCCAGCGGGTCACGGGTAACGCTGGGCATAACGGTGTTAATGAACGATGTTAAGGGTCATTTTGAAGTACACGTTGTGTGGATGGATTGCGCGTCGCAATCCATCCACCCAACGGGTATTCCGTAATCTTTGTGCGCCAACAGCAAATATCGCTAATACCAGATAGGTGGTCTCTAATTGGTTGACCGGTGTGTAGATCGCGTGTTTTGCTTTAGGTTCGCCAATTCAAAACATGTTGCCTATCCTCGGTGCAACGACGCACAAATGAGGGAGCACCTAAGAGACTTTGCTACCTTTCTACTTGGATTCACCAGTCAACTGAGAGGTAAATGAAGTAAGAGAAAATAGGAATCGCGACGTTAGCTAACTGACTAAATGGAAAGCGCAGAAATCTGAGGGCAAACAGAAAAAGCACCGCAAAGTACTCACTCAATAGCATGTAATGTGGGTCGCCTGTTGTACAAAGCTCCTTGGGACTTAGGATTCTCCGTGAGCAAACACAGTGCAGAATCTATTTCAAAGTTCCATCGTGGAAAACACAGTGAGAGTCATTGAATTCAGGGAAAAAGACAAGTAGAGTTCTCAATATCATTGTAGGCAAATCAGGAACCGTCGGCAGCATGGGAAGGAGTCAAGCTCTGAAATTGCCCGGACCAGTGAATAGGCGATGTAATAAGCGTCCGACTGGGAATTCCGAGGGCTTTGGCGGTCGATGGATACGTAGGTCGTAACAGACCTGAGGGCTGCAATGAAAACAAATACTTCGCACGCGGTTGGAGGAAGTTATCAAAACCACCTAGTAAGGGAATCACAATAAATGCAACGTGCGAGTAGCTAACAGGACAGTATCCAGGGATGAAACAAGCTTAGGCCTGATAAGCGTCTCGTTTCGTTTGCCAGTAAGCGAACAAAGCCCTCATCACTTCGACATGATAATTAATTCTTGCATTTATAATGAAGAGAGGAGTAAGAGCAAAATGACCACAACACTCACGAAGTTGCATAAGCTACTAGCATGTGGTTAAAGCTTCCATGAACTCTCACAGGAATAAGGGAAACAGAGACAAATAATTATTGCCCAGGCATCGCTTGAATTCCTCTACCGTCTTACATACAATAATGCAGAGGGAAATTTATCCCATCTAGGCAAGAACCGATTTGAAAAGAACATGGCTTTTATACCGAGACTAAATCGGAGTTGTCAGACTGCAAGTGGTCGGACGTAGCTTGTTCAAACACGCAAGTGTGTCGGAAAACACCAAAACCTTACATGATTTTGAATGTCTAATAAGTCCTCTCGCAATCTGCATCTCCATTGAGAACAATACTGTTAGCCAACCGATCTCCATATAGTAACCAAGCTGGTCTTCTACCATGCGAGCAGCCAGTCTCTGCACATTCTCAATACAATTGATATTATTTGCAGGTAGGGTGCCCAGGCCTGAACAGTATTCCAAATGTAGTCTGACCGCTGCTCTATACAAAAGGAGAAATAACTTTGGCTTGGTAAAATTCAGAGCTCTTCCTAGTTGAAACAACGCCTGACGTGCCTTGCTAGCAACATGCCTACCCTTCGCCGAAAGCTTGGAGTTATTCGTCATAATGGTACCAACATCACGTGCTTCAGTGACATGCTGCAGTATCAGGGACCCAACGGGTACGTGCAGTATAACTTCATCGCTCAGAGTCAAGATTTGGCATTTGCTGGCGTTCAATGGCAAATCCCATAAACGTGACTACTTAGTAACAATAGCCACATCTTTAGATAGCGTAGCCTTACCGTCCTTGCTAACAAGTTTGAAATCATTAAAAATATAGGAGGGATCATAAAGTAGAATGGTCAAGTCATTAATAATATATAAGAAACCGCAACGGACCGAGTACTGAACCCTGCGATCACTATGAATAGTACCTGCGCTCGAAGTACTATCACAACCCTAACACGAAATATCTTGCCATAAAAGAGCGCGGACAGCCAAAAAATCTGCTGAGTGGGGTACAAACTAAGTCAACTTTTCTGGCAGAAAGCGGTTTTACTGGAACAAAAGCTTTACAGAAATCAAGATTACACATTTCAACCGGTATCTCCATATCAAGACACCGAGTTATTTCATCAAGGGAGTACCACATGCTATTAATGCACGTTTTTTTCCTGACAGAGCCATGCTGTTCCGTTCCAATCAGGTTGTGGGCAGTCATGCTCGCAGATGAGATCTTTATTAAGCTTTTACAAACACTACAGAAGTACGCCAGTCAGAATAACAGGCATGTAATTATTGGGTGATGATTTAGAGCCTGCTTTATGTATCGCCACTACAACTGCCTCCATCCAATCCTGCGGTATCTTTCCCTCACGAAGAGACATGGTGTAAAGTTCAAGGACTGGAAGCTGTATTATATCAGCAAATGGCTTGATAATGGCTCGGTACACAGGATTTGGAGGGATTTAGGCCTTTCAGGACGGACAGAACATCCGACGCAAGTAGTACAAGTGCCCCTGTTTTCTCCTCGTTTATTAAATGTGGCTGTGAAGGGATTGTATACCCACCGTCCTCCTGGTGAACTTTCTGGAAAACGCCCAGCACTTCCTGTGCCTTAACTACGGCTTCTGTAACCTGAAGTCAATGTGACTAAAATGCCAACGAGTTCCTTTAAGGACTGCAAGTAGCAGTAGTAGCGTTTCCGATGAGTCTTTACACCAGGCGCCAGTTTAACCTCGTACGCGTATTTGGCCAGCGTCAGTAATTTGACGACTGTTATAATCTTCTCACTAGATGCGATTCCGAAATTGGCACTTCACTGCTCCACAAAACTTCCAGCCCAACCGAACGAAAAAGCAGAACACCAATGACCTTAACAAAATAACGGATTAACCGCCATTAACAAACACTACAACCACCGCGGATCTTGGCTGTATTCATAGGTCCCTTGCTGATCTTCCAGTTCCGGGATTGGAAGACCAACTACCAAGGTTAGTGGTTCCCCATAGCTTTGGCCGAGATATCAGGTGGTTTGTAGTCATGTGCACAAGTTGGAACTATCCAGAACGTTCGAAAACGATGCGGTAATCGTTAATAATCGATTAATCGCTAAAATAGTGGATTTTCTAAGCAATTCTTACTTCGAAGAAAGTAGAAGCCACGATTAAAATTCACGCACAATAATATGCCTCGACGGGGAGTCGAACCCCGGTCCACGAATTTCCGGTCCGCTGCTCTACCACCTGAGCTACCGAGGGCTGACGATTAGGTGCGCAAATTTTAACACATGTCTTCTGCTTGGTGCGCGACGTGTTGCCAATAAGCTCACAGTACCTGTCCTGATGTTGCAGATTGGCTCACTCACCCGTCACTTCGAACTTCACACTACTCACAAACATCCACCATTAATTCTTACTTCCTCCAGACCATCTCACCTGAGATATCGTCCAAGGTATACGATGAAAGCCTAGGATTAATTTGCAGTCTTCGGGACGGTGTTCACTGCTTGTCGGTTCATCTGCTTGACAGAACTGCCCGAGAAGTGGGTTCCGATGTCCGTGGTCTGGATTGCTCGACTGTGAGCAGTCGTCAACGGCTTCCTTCGGCAAGTTGAAGCTTTCCACCAATAAGTCGAACGGGAGGCCGGTAGGCCTTGCTCGTTCTGGTTGGCACAAGGTGGGCCGTAACTGGTTTGTATGCCGTGCCCAGATCTGTGTGCCCACAACCACGTCATCAATGACATTTCCAAGCTAGTTTTTGACCGTCCCTGGAGTCCACTTCGCGTGGCCTTCCCAATAGTCACGTACTAGCACTTTCTGTTCAAGTGTAGACGATAGTTACTTCGCTCCATGCCGCCGGTTAAAATCCTGTTCTATTCCGCGGTTTATTTCCCCAACAGAGGATTCCGAGCGTGGTCGGATGGCGTCGAAAGGCACGCGGAGCTTCCGGTTCGTCATAGCCTGTGCTGGAGAAACTCCGTCCGGCGCTTGTGGATTCGGTGTTGATCGGTAGAGGAAAAGGAACCGGTCAACCACCTCTACACGTCCCTCGCCTTTTAATTTGCGGAGAGCTCGCTTGAGCGTATCGACAAACCTTCCTGCCTGGTCATTCGACTGTGGGTGAAACGGCGGCGAGTGAATGCTCTGGACGGCGCATTGCTTGCAGAACTCCGTAAAGTTGCCGAAGTGGATTGTGCGCCATCGTCAGTTACAGTCGTCTCTGGAAAGCCGAATCTGCTGAATGTTTGGCGCGGTTTTGATAGTGCCACTGGTGGTTGTGCTATCCATGAGAAATACTTCAGGCCACTTGTTGTATGAGTCGACTATAATGAGGAAAATTTGGCCGCTGATCAGTCCTGAGAAGTCGACATAGATGCGGCACTATGGTTTAGTAGCTTTTGGCCATGAATAGAGCTCCGCTTTTTGTGGTGTTTTCAAGACATTGGCGCGGTTTCGGCAGCGTTTATCTATTTCTTTTAGCTGTTTGTCCATGAAGGGCCAGTATACATAACTGCGGGCAAGCGCCTTCATCCGGTTGATCCCAGGATGCCCGGCGTGGAAGTGTCGAATAAGGCGCTCCTGAAGTGCCTTGGGGATGACCACTCTTTCCGAAAATAGTATGCAGTCGTTCACAATAGAGAGCGAATATCTCTTCTGAAAGTACTGTTGCAACTCGACAGATAGACATAAAAGTTGCCAACTTGCTTTGTGAAACTGTGTAAGTTTTTTGAGTACTGGGTCCCGAAGTGTTTCAGTTCGTACAGCTTCTGCGGTAACTGGTAGACCGTGCAATGCATCAGTTACCAGAAAGTTGACGTCAGGTTCGATCTCGACTGAAGCAATGATTGTGCCCTCATGTTCTTGCTGGTGGGCATCAATTAGGTGTAACAGTGCATCCGCTTGGCCAATGGAAGTTGTCGACTGGTAGTGGATCTCGAACCATCGCAATGAGGCTGGACCTTACCGTGGTGCGATGGTTTGTGTGCCTCAGTGATCCATTGAGCTATACTGGGTGGTGCATTTTTTGCACCTTCAGAGCCACTCATACCAGGTTGGTCAATGGTTAGAGGCCAGACAAACTCAGCCTTCTGGTCCTCCAGGTTGGGGGTTGGAATGAGGGTGGCTCCTTATTCCTTAAAACGGACTTCTTGTAGCCCAATGCCAAACCCGCTGCCTTGCGGTCAGGTTTTTGAACCAAAGGCTTTGGTTGAGAACCCTAATCGTTCTCCTGTCTAGGCCTGGACAACCTGACAGTATCCTGCCCACGCAATACAATGAATCACACTTCAAACAAATTTCTGATGCTCTGGCCACCGCAGAGGATAATCAACGGTGCCCTATCTGCTGCATCGGGCAGGGTAGATAGGGGTTTGGATGCTACTGCTCAAGCCTTCCCGTCTTCTTATTCCCTCTCTTGCGCTTTTTCACCCTTATCGTCCCGTTCCAGCTTCACTTTTATCCCCCCTGTTTTCAACCCCCCAATTCTCGGCCCTCCCCCACGTTGCTTCAATAGTCGCTTGCCTTTTAGTTTCAACTCACATGTGAACGCGGAGCGTCATTCCTGCCCTGTCAACAGGCCCATGTCCAAGCAAGCGGTCAAGCCCAGTTCATCGGCTTCCATTTGGAGCCCTCGATCCTCCTTCAGATTGGCATGCCTCAATGTTCGCACATTGCTTCAGATCGGTCAACAGACAGCACTTGCTCGAACATTAGAGACCCTCTCGATCGATATCTGCTGCTTATCGGAGACCCGCCTGCAAGACTCGAGC